CTGTTGAACACAAACAGACTACCTCATGGTTGGGTATATTAATAGTGGTGACCACTACATGCAAACGCAGTACAATATGACCCACTACTACATGGAGCGACGACTTCAAATGCATTGCAGAGAGTCAATGCATGCAGATGGCTTGGGACTGTTGGGAAAACCCATATTCAGCAATGGACAGTAAATGGCTGATGATGAATGAAAGATAATGATATCTTATTGATTGTAAAATAAATTATGAAAAAGATGTGATGTGTATCCATGATTTTAAGTGGCTTTTTTGTGGAGCAAAAAAGAGCAATCTAATTTCAATTCACGGCGACAACGTTGCATATTACCAGCGAATAATACGATTCGTTCATATTTGATTTTCACAATATAACTAAGAAATATTTGTCTTTAATCACAATATAGAGTAAATCAAATAAAATCCCTGGGTAAGCTGCCTACTTACTTGAACCACCTACCCACTTATGCCACCTACCCGCTTCTATCGGTTCTTCATTAATCAAAGGTTGTCTGTAAGAGAGTGCCTGTGTTTTAGTTTGTATATTACGCTACTGTATTTCATCTAATTTTTTTTTAATTTGTCATAGTATATTTTTACGTTTTTGATGCAATAAAGAGTTTAATAAACAAATGTGCTGAATTTGTCAGAGATATTATCGTTTCGATTACTCGATTTTAGGCATGCGTAATATTAGTATCGTTCTGATATCCAATAACGGAGATCTACCGTGGAATGTTTCCCGAAATTTGGGAGTAGAATGAATTACAAATTTAATGTTATAATTACATAATAAAGACCGTTTAAAAATTATCCAAAATATTATGATATCGTTACCTTACCTATAGCTTTTATGGTACCTTTAGCTTTTGTGGTAGGATATAAGACCAAAGAAATGTTAAGCTTTTTTACTTTACCGATTTCGATATCAACAAAAACATGAAATTGAAACCGAAAATTTATTTATATATTTCTTATTGCATTCCATAATATACTTAGTAGATAACATTTCAATTATGGAGCCTGTTGGGCACAGCAAGTAGGAGAGAGGAGGACAACACTTTTTTCACTTTAGAAATAGTCTAAGGATCTGTTACAATATTATCCAACCATTGAAATTGTATCACGATAGGTACGTATTTTCTGTATTATTATTATTTATTATTTAAGTATTGGTGTGTATCTATTCATATCGTAATTGTTATTAGTATTATATAGTTATTTAATATATTCTGTAGTTTATAATTATTTATATTCATATTGTTAAAATTAATTAATAAATAGTTTAATAATAAAATTTCTGCAATGTCAGTTTTAGCTATGTCTGTTGAAAATTTCATGGTACACCTTCAAATCATCTCATGTTAATATCGGCCACACCAATTGAATATTATATTCATTTCGATATTATATATTGGACTAGTATACCGGCTTCGTTTGACTTTGTACGGGTTGATAGAATTTTCGAAAATAATACATATTAATTGCTGGTAATGTAGCTTTTTATAGGTGAAAGAATTTTTAATTTGTTTATCGGTTTTTCAGTTTATTAAACAAATAAATGTTTTATATTTATAATATTAGAATACATAACCGATTTTTAATACGCCCACTATTGGGCTACAATATATATTGTAACTACAATATATAGGTTTTGGCTATATATTACCCAACCCTAGTTCCGATCACTCGAATCAGACACGTGGTTTCACTAATCCATATCGGCCGCACGGCGGAAAACTTTTGTTATCGCCGGGATAACGAAGTTAATCGCATTAATTGAAGTAATAGGATTACAAAACGAACCCCTCTCACACAGAATATTGTTGGTATTTGCAAGACTCTCGGCGGAGATTGAATAAGTTGCATATCTAATTATCTATACGGCTATGTTTGGTGGGAGCGAATCGGTTCTATATTGTTATTGAATGGATACCTCCTTATGTCCGTAATGACTCATTAGTTTAATTATATTGATGTTCGATCTCTGAAACTAGAGAAATCTGAGGGTCTACCATGAAATGTTTTCCGAAATTTCGAGTCCGAACGAAACACAAGTTTGATGTTAAAATTATATAATACATACTGTTTAAAAAGATTAAAAATGTTAAAATACCGTTACGACACGCGATCGTAGCCGAAAGCATGATGCGATGTGCGATCGGCTCCGTTCGCCTGTCGTCGTATCTGATCGGATCCTTTCGGTGTGTTCATTCAAAGGCGTGGCCAAGCGGCTCATTTTTTGTTTCAATTGTATTTTATGATTATTTTTCTCTTCAAATGGAATATAGCATACAATAGCCAACAATACTACGTCAAGTTCAACTATTTTAAAAATTAGAATACGTTAACACGGTTTGTAGACGACTTTTGACGAGTCTCTCTTTTTTTTTATACAACTTAGAATGGCAAACAAGCTGACGACCCACCTGATGGAAAGTGGTAACCGTCGCCTATAGACATGAGCAGTACCATGGACATAACAGACTATACTGTTTCGCCCATGATACCCCCCATGCGTTGCCATTCCTGAGGACTCAGGTGTTATTCCTCTGTACCCAGTAAATTCACGCCATACCCCACCCTTCAAACCGAAACACAGCCATGCAAACACAACTGCTTCACGGTTGAAACACGAATGACTTTTGTACAAAGTCTCCCTCTGGTACTCACTGAGTCTTGAAGATATTTCTCCAACCCATTGAGACAAATATGAAGAATATAAACATTTATTGAATGTTGATTCAATTCTCAATATCTTACTCCATTGTTTCCCAAGTTTGATATGGGTACACTATATAACTATTATACGTCAGTTACACGATCCAATAACACACTTGATAATTGAGAGAAATTGAGATTGTTATTACAACAAATAATTGATATTAGATAGAGTTCCTGTGAAAGTAAATTAAAAGTTTCAAGAGAGTTATATATATTGACTTTTGTGGTGGAATAAAGTACATAGATTTGTAATGCGAAAAAAAGCGTACTAACACATATGTTAGAGTGAGATAGAAAAGTAGTATACAATATAAGCTGGAAGCTGATTTGGCCGGAGTATGAACGAAATAAATTCTTATTTTTATTTTTATTTTTAATGTGCAATTAGTTTGAAGTGAATGTAGTTTAATTAGAGTTAAGAATGCTCTTCAATTATTAAGTGTTCCGTTTAAAATTGCACTTTTTCACATAATTACGATATAAACATTTATCTTTTTAAATGCAATATTTATGGACAATCAGAAATATTTTGTACAAGAATCGACAGAGAAAAAAAAATAACAAATTTAACTCAAATAAAGTTTTGAACGTCCACGAATTGAAAAAAACATTATAAAATATACAAGAATTTTTACTATTTTTGCAACTTAAATTTCATATAGATTTAGACCTGTCATATGCATATATTTACAATACACCTACACTAGTGTATATATTTTGTTGGCTTTTTTTTTAATTTTATTGTTAGTCTGTCAGTACGTAGTATTTTATATTCCATAGTTTTAATACACTGAATCACCTTCCGATGGTCGTGAGTTGAATGGCCAACAAGCTGACGGCCCACCTGATGGAAAGTGGTAAATAGTATAATAGCAGTGGATGTAAAAGTCTGAAAATAAAAATTAATATTACCATGATAATTCAAGCTAGTTTGCTTAGTAAGCTATTAAGCAAAACAAATTTATCATACTTTCATATCAGCAGTCATAAACTTTCCAAACATTGAAAGCAGTGTTTTTCAAACTTTTTTATGACGCGCCTTCCTAATATGTAGAGAAATATTTTACGACCCCTTACTCTTCGCGATTCCTAACCTGTTATATACATTTTAATATATTATAAATATTATATTCGTATATTTATTTATTTTCATGTTTAGATATAGTTTAAGTACAGTAACTAATACATATTAAAGTATATAAAACAGACATCGATTACGTTGTGAAACGCCTTCATGGAAAAAGTAGGTTAGGCAGGTTTAAGTATGTAGGGTGACATAAATTTTGTTAATTTATATTAGCCTGCCTGCAATAAACGTTTTTAATGAACATTTTCATAATAAAAATACCTTTATGAACGTTCTTTTCTAAGATTTCTAAATCTTCCATAACCCCCATGCAGAGGATTAAAGACCCCAGGGGGTCACGACCCACACTTTGAGATACACTGATTTGTAGCAAACACTATCTCGGCTTCAACGAATCTTGCAACATAGTGTAAACATTCCTATGTATATTTTTGCACAATTATGCAGGTACAAATAAACGTGCAGCATTTGTCGAGTGCTTTAACTAATGACACAGGGGACTGCTGCCCTGTTATTTTAAATTGCACCCTCGCTTTAGACGACAAGCCCCTGGAAATTGCGCTAAATGCGAGATGTCTGCGTTGTTTTTAAAAGTGGTGTTTCAATTTGCTTTCATCCTGTCCGTTGGGTTGTTAAGTCGCGGAGCTTTATTGAGCATTGTATAGCATTTTTATTAGTTTGGAGTTTACAACGAAACAAAGGGATGTAACGAATTGAATGAATTATTCCGCCACATTGAATAAAGAATTTTTTTAAACTATCCCCAAGAGATACAGTGGCTTTAGCTAATTTTCAAGCTCACATTATTGCTAGCTTGTTAAATTCTCCACGAGTTAATACAGCTTCAGTATACTCTCGAGAGTATGTTTCACTTTAAAGTCACGTATAATAATAAATTGTTTTTCTACCCTAAAACAGGAACTTGGCTAGTTATTATATGTATTTATTTCAAATTAACTTTTATTCGCGACTTCTTTCGAGAGGCTGGTTTAAATTGATCCGCCAAAATAGACGTAGGTCGATGGCCTTCTCTATCCCAAATTTTATGTGCATGCAAAATTTTATAACGATTGAGCAATGAAAGTACCAAGATGTAACAAACAAATATATATAATTGAATAAGATTCTTACATCTATCATTAGAGACAATACCAAATGCAACAGTGCAGTGTTACTCTTCCGTTGGATTTTATAAAAAAAATAGTTCATAAATTTGTCTTTGTAACGTTGTTTAGTGTACAAGCCAGTATTTCTATATTTTCATGAATGGATCGCCAGGAAAGCATATTTTGTTTTATAAAGTTCAGCATCTATTCAACCTACGATTTTTGCTAAATTTGTTAAATCTGGCCATCCGACACTGTCTGAATCATTTGAAACAGTCTTTTTCTCTCCTTTAAATTCTTTCAATACTTGCAACGTACTTTCTTTGTTGCTTTCAGTTTTTTCCTCTGGTTTCAACACGTCACCACGGTTAATCTTCTGATATTTTACTATTAGATCCAATATTTCATGTTGCATCTTCAATCGAAGTTCACCCGTCAAATTCCTCATCGCAATCCCCACGTATTGTCCAAAAACAAAATCTTCGTTCACTTGGTGGGTTAAAAACTCGCTCCCTAGCTGAGTCAAAATGTTTCTTATTAGATTTGTGGTTGTAATATTTGTCACGTTTTTTTCAAGGTTTGGTGAGTGCTTCCGAAGTACTTTGTCGTATTTTGGCCTGATTGGCGGGGGGCCGATGGCGACTGAAACGACCTCGTCATTTTCCATGTCGTCCTCGTCGAGAGGCGTTAAGTGACCCGATGGCTGTGAAAAAAGTAAAGTGTTCTTAAAAACGGCAAGAGCTTTTAGCGCTAAAATATTTTAAGCTTGATTTATAATGGGAGTGACTATGAAATTAAATCTATGCGAGTAAAAATCAAATGCTGAAGATATGTAAGCGCATCATTTCAAAATGGTTTCATCTATTTGGCTATTTTTTTGGTATGTTTGTAATTATCAGGGAAAGGCTTGTATAGAAGAAATATGTTTGTCTTTTTCTCAATGTCCTCTACCCAAAGGTTGTCTGGACGAGATTGCTTAGCGATAAGGCCGCCATTTGTATGACTTCTCATTAATATTTACTGTATTTGTTATTTTTCTTTTTACTTGGTGCAATACAGTGTAAAATAAATAAATAAAATAAATCTTTGAAAAATCGTACGGAGAAAGAAAAAACTTGCCTCAATAATTTTATAATATAATATTAAGTGAACTAGTGATATGAAAGACAGTAGATAAATCTTTAAAAATATTAATAGAATTGACAAACTGACGTCCAGTTGTTTCATTTCTTATATTTTTGTTATTATGTTACAGATTTTCTTCAAAAGGCACGGTGGTTAAGGTTGAATCAATGAGCTCCATCATGATCAGTCTTCTTTATTTGACACTTCAAGAAATAATATAATAATATTTACTGTTCGAAAATATTAAATATTGACAAAATAAAATTTAACACGTGATCGATATACAGTTCAGAAGAAAAATATTAGCCACAGAATATATACATATTTTATATAATTATATAATATATATATATATATATATATATATATATATATATATATATATATATATATATATATATATATTAAGTTCAAGTTAGATAGCTAGATATGTTTTGGTTTTTCATTTCATTATAATTTTTTTTTATAATCATATAAAATAGTATGACACTCTTTTATAATATTTGACCTGACAATTCCAAAAATTTTGCATATCAATTTAAATTTATATTTGACTACTGAGTTACATTCTAACTGCGGTAATGAACCTAATAAATTCAAGAGATGCTGGCAGGCGTTTCCTGTACCCTGTTACATTCCATTATTACTCGGCCAAATGATAGTTACCCATGTGTTACAACAATCAACTTTAACGGAAATATGTTATAATCATGATTAAAAATAACTATATTTAAAATTCTAGGCCATGTCGTTCTGACATAGAATGGGCCACCCCTTCTCATCCCGTAGGTGTCAATAGAAGTAACTAAGGAAATTCTATGGTCGAGGGATGGGAAACAACGTGTGGGTGTTATAAAAGGCGTCAAAGGGAACTTCATGATAGAGGGATGGGCAGGAACGTCTTTCTTAAAAGATCACCAAACCTGGCAAGCGTGGTAACTATTAGCAAAACTCCCCTTATAGGGAAGGTTTATATTCAGCAGTGGATAGTTGACAACAGACATGATGATAATGATAAACCATGCTAACGTAAATGTCTGAATATTAGCATACATTTTAATAGGATAGGCGTACCATAGGTATCATCATGAGGTATCTCAAATGAGCTGGTAGTTTGTTTGCGACCCCAAATTGCAAGATTTTTTTTAAATCATCTAAAAATCACCAAAAATGGCAATGTGTAGGTGAAATAGTAGATTCCTATCTAAATCAAATATATGATCAATTTACAGGAACATCGAATTTATTTTAACACCTTTTTTCTCAACTCTCTGGGGCGCTGCGTAGTGGGACGTCTCTTTGGTTCACTGTCGCGAGGCAGCATGTGTCTTTTGGAATGGTAATGAAGACGTCTACGAAGGTCACGGCCGTCTCCTCTCTCGTCTCCTGGGGATTTCCATGCTTCCTACAAAGGAGTATATCGTAAATCGATACATCGTGTTCAATACATTATTCATTAAAATTTTGATGAAATTATAAACGTTTAACTCATAAATTTGTTTCAAATAATAACACTTCATAATAATAATACGTTATTAAATTCTAAACCTAATTTATATATATTTTTTATAACATAAAAACAAAGTAACATGCGGCTTACGTAATAGTAGGTGATTATCGCCACCTATAAACACCCGCAAACTGGGGGGAAAGGGATTGTTAGCTATGGAGTTTGACAACCCCATTGCCAGCAATATGCCCTATTAGGTCGACCTCCACGTGGTTCCCCCTGGAAACCATCGTGAACAATTCTTGTTGAATTCGTCACGATGGGCCAACTGACCTGCTTCATCCTTACCTATCATCCTTCACTGGTGCCCCGCCGGTGTATACCGATAGCGCAGGCGGGGATACCATTCCATTATCACCCATAAAAAAATAAAACACCCGCAAACTCATAAAAATTGCAGAAGTGTTTGTAAGAAGGAGTATGCACTTTTCTAATTATTTTCTAATTTTATTTATTTAATAAATTCTTTAGTAATTTTGTTTATACTAATAAAAAGTGTTAATTTCAATTGTGACAAAACATTATTTCATGTTTTGTCACAATTGAAATTAACACTTGACGTGAAATGTTTCGAAGATACATTAGATTGACGATATTCGAATTTTAAACGTGGAATAGTTATGAGATTAGAAAGATTTTATATCTACTATATATTATATTTAATAGTAAATTAATTTATCAAGTTTAGGTCTTATACCTGCTTTAAACACTACCATTACACTATTAAAATTATTATAAATTCAAATTTTTGATCCAACATAAAATTTACGGTCACAATTACGTCTGTTGCTCGACTACGCACTTAAATATTATTAAATTAACAACAGCCAGCGAGAGAGTCACTTCAGCTTTTGCTGTTAATAATTTCTGCTATAATTTACAGTTGCTTTTCCAGTGAGCTACTTACACTAATTGCCGGTATTAGTAATATTATAATACAGCAAGTTTTCGCGTCCATTCCTCGAAGCAGTTCTGTGAGAACTGCTCTTTTCTTAAATGAGAGGTGGTATGTTTGTTTATAGGTATGTTGATTGATTGAAACGATGCATTGATCGATTATGAATCAAAGGTAAACATACTGTGAGAATCGTCAGCTGTATCAGTATTTGTTTATCTGGAGTTCAAGATAACTTTTTTTTTCTTTTTTTATACAACTTAGAATGGCAAACAAGCTGACGGCCCACCTAATGGAAAGTGGTAACCGTCGCCTATAGACATGAGCAGTACCATGGACATAACAGAGTATACTGTTTCGCCCATAATACCCCCCCTGCGTTGCCATTCCTGAGGACTCAGATGTTATTCCTCTGTACCCAGTAAATTCACGCCATATCCCACCCTTCAAACCGAAACACAGCCATGCAAACACTGCTGCTTCACGGTAAAAACACGAATAAGACAGAGGTACCCGAGCAATCGACTTTTGTACAAAGTCTCCCTGTAATAAACATAACATACATGTATTATCTTTTCAGTTGTGTATTTTAACATTTGCCACCAGTCATCATCATTATATCAGCCGCTGTCCACTGCTGAAGGTAAGTCTCCCCCTTAGTGGATTTGCCAGTAGTTGCCACGCTTGGCAGGCGGATTGGCAACTGCAGTTAGGCTTTGGAGATATTTTAAGACAAACGTTGCTGTCCATCCTTCGACTGTTAAATTCCCTCAGTCGCTTCTTACAACAGCCAAGAATCCTTCGCCCTCCCTCAGTCGCAGTGTTATTCCTCTGTACCCAGTAAATTCACGCCATATCCCACCCTTCAAACCGAAACACAGCCATGCAAACACAACTGCTTCACGGTTGAAACACGAATGGGACAGAGGTACCCAAGCAATCGACTTTTGTACAAAGTCTCCCTCCCTCCTCCCTCTCTCCTCCTCTACTTCCTAATTGCAATTAAGTCTAATTACTCCAATTGATGAAAGCGTAATTCCGAAGCGTACAATTCAAACGTTTATGCAAATGTGAAATAATATTACGCTAATAGAATACGGAACATATAAAACTTTTAAGTGGGATTGTTCGTGTACTCGGCGTATTGACGTAACCAAAAACTTAGCACCCTCTATTTGAAGGGGAGAGGATTTCTATTAATGAGGTTTTTGCTAGCAATATACCCTGTCACGTCGACTCACATGAGGTTATACCCTACCAGGTCAACCTCCACGTGGTTCCTCCTCGAAACCATCGTGCTGAATTCTGTATCTATTCATCACGATGGGCTAACTGATCTGCTTTTTCATTCTCACCTATCATCCCTCACTGGTGCCCCACCAGCGTATACCGATAGCGCGGGCGGGGTTACCATTCCATTATTATTCAATAAAAAAAAGACCCACATGAGGTCTATCCTGGATTGGTGGGAATGGATTGCTAGTAATGGAGTCTAATAGTTTTATTCCAATATAACATTTTTTTAGTTTTTTTTTAGATTTAATAAATGATTGCTTCATTCATATAAATTCTATTAAAATTAACTGCAATGCTTTATTATAGAAATCCCCTTCTGTATCAAAGTGAATATCCAATTGTTGTTTGCAACCATTCAACAGCTTGTAATGACGTGGTACAGTGGAGTTGGCACCAAGAACAGGGGGCCTACCATGAAATGAAATTCCGAATTTTCGGGCTCAATTTCGTATTTTTTCGAACCTAAATCGACCTAGTAAATGGAGCTTAACGTTTCGTTCATCATAAATCCTATCCTAATAGTCCAGAGGAACGATATTTTAATATTTATAATAATTTTAAGCGGGATTTATTATGTAATTTTAACATAAAATTTTTATTTCGTTCGTCCTCGAAATTTCGGAAAATATTTCATGGTAGGCCCTCAGTTCTACGGAACGGCACGGACATTGGACTGATGTAACTACGAAATGAGAATTTTAATATGTTTCAAATTCCCTCGTTACGCCACCGGCCTAAATACGAAAGAGGTCGGATTACGCTGGAGGCGGCGTGTGCACGCACAAACTTGTACAAGTTGAAAACAACTCCTTTCGCGATTTAATTAGATCCCCGCCTTAATTGAAAATATGTTCGAGCATTAAATACGCAAATAAATGGTTTGTACATGTGTACAGATAGCAAAATAAGCGTTCTTAAAAATTTAAATTTTTAGAAGTTTAAGAACAATGTGAGATTTATATTGAGTGCTTTTGAAGTAAATTATTTAATTAAGTATTTTTTTTTTAAATAATTACAAAGTATTTGTTTACTTGGATTTTACACTTAAATTATTAAATATATTAATTAATAATAAGTCAGAAATAATTAGTACAGTACAGTTTAGATAAATTTTCTGATTTGATTAGTTTTCCTATCATCGTCATCATCAGCATAGCAGCTGTTGATTTCCCACTGCTGAACACAGACTTCCCACTATTAGGGATTGTTGCCAGTAGTTGCCACGTTTGGCAGGTGAGTTGGTAACTGCAGTCTGGTTTGATGATGTTTTATGAGGGACATTGCTGCTTATCCTTCAACCATTAAATTCCCTTAATCACCTTTTACAATACCTACGGGAAAGGAATGGGTGACCTATTCTATGCTGGGACCATACAGCGTTTTTGTATCATACGATATTTATTTATACAATAAAGATAGAATCAATGGTATCTGTGTTGTTACTTATGAGAATGGTATCCAAACAAATTCTATTCAAAAATGTAAACAATCGGCATAGTTGATGTAAATTGACAAAATTCACGTTATATTTATATTTTTTATTTCATATTATATATTTGTATACTATATGCAGATGGGGTTGACAAAAAAAAATATATTTGTTGTATAATTATATTATTGGAGTTTTGGTGATTACTAAGTACTTAAGTACTTATTGATATCATATTTTAAATATAAGAAATCATAAACAACAATATGCGTATGCTATTGTTTTCGACCGACTACAAAAATAAGGTTCTCAGTTCGGTAGTATTTTTTTATTATCTTATAACTTCGGCAGTTCTAAACCGATTTGGAAAATTCTTTTTTTATCTGAAATACAGGATCATTCTGTAAGTATATACTTATAGTTCAATCGGTTTTCTATAGAGATTCTGTCGAAATTTAGTTTTTAGATCAAAAGAACTAATTTTGTTACAATTGAAATCGGTTTTACTTGTGGGACATAATCTTTAACTATTCTAATGTAATATTGTAATATATACATTTTTTTATAGAATCAGTTGAATAAAAAATTAATAAAAAAAATATTTTGTTTTGCAAACTCTACTCCTCTATTCCCCGCGTCACGTATTGTAAGTAAACTGGCGCTTAACTTGTATTTTGCACTTATGCCTATTTGCGTAGGGCTGATGTTATGGCTATGTTAATGACTTCAATATAATTTATGAGTTGGCGTATAATTATAATAATTCATTATTAGATTATAAACGTTACGATTCTGGTAATCTAGTGTATAAAGGGGGGAGGGGGTTTGTAATAAATTCGGCTCTATGTGTACTTCTGTCCCATTTGCTTGCTTTCAAGGCTGTGTTTTGGTTTGAAGTGTAGATTTTGATAGTGTAATTACTGCGTACAAGGGCTTACCCCCGTACCCCTCGTGAAGTGGAGGGAGAGATAGTAATGCGGATTACTACTTCCATTACTAAAAATATACCCTAACAGGTCGACCTCCACGTGGTCCCTCCTGGAAATCATCGTGCTGATTCCAAGTGTTCATCACGATGGGCGAATTGGCCTTTTCATTCTCACGTATCATCCTTCACTGGTGCCCCGCCAGCGTATACCGTTAGCGCAGGCGGAGTTACCATTCCATTATCATCCATAAAAAACCCCTCGTGGAGTCTCGCATTTGTTCCATTAAAAAACTGCAACTATAGTCCATAAAATTAACAAGAAACTAACACAAAAATGGAAAAAAGATTCAACAAAATCGATACAAAATTTGGGTAAAATTTGTATAAATAAACAGGTAGATTGAAACCTTAATTTGTTATCTCTTAAAGAATTCTCCCACTTTCAGACAAATGGGCCAATTAAGGATTTTTTTTCAATTTAAACCTGTTGTTAAAGCTGTTATTTTGTTACATGATCGTAATCTGTTAAGATTTTAGTTCACTTGTCCAATATTGAAAATATATAGTAGACACCTTTTATATAAGATTTATTTATTTATAGGATTACCAACATAAGATACAGCTAAACATTTCAATACAATACACTGGCAGATTAGATTTTACTGTTCTTACATTTATAGGCAACCACAGCGTGCCTTGTGTTTGAGAAACATTAAAATATAATTAAATTATTAAATGAGTAAAGATTTTTTTTTTTTATACAACTTAGAATGGCAAACAAGCTGACGGCCCACCTGATGGAAAGTGGTAACCGTCGCCTATAGACATGAGCAGTACTATGGACATAACAGAGTATTCTGTTTCGCCCATGAGACCCCCCATGCGTTGCCATTCCTGAGGACTCAGGTGTTATTCCTCTGTACCCAGTAAATTCACGCCATATCCCACCCTTCAAACCGAAACACAGCCATGCAAACACAACTGTTTCACGGTTGAAACACGAATAGCACAGAGGTACCCAAGCAATCGACTTTTGTACAAAGTCTCCCTCTGGTGATATAAGATATTATATGAGTAAAGATATTTATTCAAAAGTTATTTATTTAAAAATATTGTCACAGATAATATAATACTATACTAGTAACTAGTAATATTGTAACAATCGACAGTAACTTAAGTACGTAACGTAAGAACTTAAGTAACTCAGCGATGATCATTGCTTTGTGTTTATATTTTTAAATTTTAATATAATTTTAATTTTTTCAATTTATACGTAGCGTTATTTTTTTTCTATGGAATTTCGCGGCTCACTTTTTGCCACAACAGAATATTAGTGTTTTGCTCGTTTTAGGGCAAAGCAATAAGTTGAGTTGTGGCTATTTTGCGTTACTGTGGCACACGCATGAAGGGGGAAAATTGTTACTTATTTTATGCATTTTGATTTTTTTTTCTTTATTTTTTGTATATATATATATATATATATATATATATATATATATATATATATATATATATATATATATATATATATAAATATAAAAAGTATGTACGAGTATGTTTGTAATGAATAAACTCAAAAACTACTTTGCCGATTTCAAAAATTCTTTCACCATTAGAAAGCTACATTCACCCTGATTAGCATAGGCTATATTTATTGGTAGAAAAGTTTAGGGATCTTTACTAAAACTACGTTACTAATAACGTAACTCAAGGTGTAAAAAAATGCTATAAAATATCTTTGGTCGCGTGCGCTGCGGAAACTATTGGTGATGGAACAAAAGTATGTTCTACAATATTGAAGAAAATATTAATAACTACAAAAAACCTCGCGATACTATATGCCCAACTATTATCGTTATGTCACAATGACCATTTTTTA